CCCAGCCCTTCCCTCCCCAGCACAAAGTCATCAACTCCTTCCTGGCCTTCAGGGAGAGCGAGAAGCAGAGGTAGGAGATGGGCAGCGGGATGGCGGTGGCTTCAGTTTGGTCCATGGAGGGGTCCCAAGCCAGGCTCTGATCCAGTGCCCCATGCCTCAGTTTCCCCATTTGGGGGTGGCGGCGGGGTGGGGGAGCACTTCTCCTCCTCCCCAGGTGGTGGAGGGTGACTCTCCCTTGCGTCCCCCGAGGCTGAAGTCCGACTCGAGCCTGACCCTGGGGGACGTCACCTCGCTCAACATGACCATGCTGGAGGGGGGCGTCTCCTTCAACGTGGTGCCCTCCGAGATGGCAGCCGGCTTCGATGTCCGCATCCCACCCACTGTGGACCTGAAGGTGGGCGTCACGCTGGCCCCAGCTGGGCAGGGAGCGGTTTGGGGTGTACCCCACTCACACCCCTCTTCTGGTCACTGCCTCAGGCCTTTGAGGAGCAAGTGGCTGCGTGGTGCCAGGGTGCCGGGGACGGCGTCACCTATGAGTTTCACCAGGTGGGGCGTCTTGGCCACCCGGGCACATCGTGCCCGTCCCTTCCCTGCCCCGTGCCCACCCTCCCGCCCCTCACCTGCCCTCTCTATCCCTCAGAAATGCATGGACCAACACATCACCTCCACCGAAGAGTCGGACCCGTGGTGGAAAGCCTTCAGCGGAGTCTGCAGGGACATGGGAGTAGTGTCCCCAGGGAGGGCAGGACCCTGGCGGGGACATCCTCTGATGGGATCAGAGGGGTTCACTGCCATGACCCCAGTGACCAGGGTCGCTGGGGTCACGGCAAGGATTGGGAGTAGACGCTCCATGCCATGCCAGGGCATCTCCCTGTGCCCCCCCAAAAGGAATGGGATTGAGTGTCTTGCAGGGCTCAGGGAACTTCCTGGCATGGTATCTTTGCCTGGGGGGTGGCAGGGGGACAGGGCACCCAGCTACCCCCGTGCCCATGCTGACGCAGGGTCTTGCTTGTCAGGAAGCTGCAGCTCAAGCTCGAGATCTTCTCTGCTGCCACTGACAGTCGCTACATCCGAGCGGTGAGTGCGATGCCAGCCCGTGTGTGGGTCACCCACCTGGCATGAGACCTGCCACCCCAAGTAGGAGCTGTGCCTGGGGTGAGGGGGGCACGTAGTGCCCATCCCAGCCACGGCCTCACCCTGTGCCCTCCATCCCCAGGCAGGACACCCCGCTATCGGCTTCTCACCCATGAACCGCACCCCAGTGCTGCTCCACGACCACAACGAGTTCCTCAACGAGCAAGTCTTCCTGCAGGGCATCGACATCTATGCCCGCCTCCTGCCCGCCCTAGCATCGGTGCCACCACTGCCCGCTGAGGGCTGAGAGCCTGGCGAGGGGCAGGATGGGGGTTGCCGAGCAGCCGGGTGCAAGGTTTTAGAAAGGGGGCAGGGGATGAGCAGAGCAAATTCCTGCCAGTGTGCCGGGGACCCAGTTGGCATCATGCCGTGTTGGCAGCTCTCAGGGCTGGCCCGATAGTGATGCTGAGTGTCCTGGCTGTGCCCTTGAGATCTGGGTCCCAGCCACCCCCCTGGGGGTTGCGTCTCCCTCGCCTAGGTGCCATCGCAGCCCCATGCCTGGGTGCCTCTTGCCTTTCCTGGTGTCGGCAATGCCTCCCCCCCCGTCCCCGTGCCACCTCTGAGGGAAGGGGCTGGCTGGTGCCCGTCTGCCTGCCCGTGCCTCATCCTGCCTCCCTGCCCGCTTGCTGGGGGAGCTGGGGCCGGTGTCCCCACCCTCCCTGTGCAAGTCAATAAATCTCCTTTGTGAGCACAGCCTGGCGTGGGGTTGTCTGTCTGTCTGTCCATGGCACTGCCCCTGGGCTCTCAGGGAGCCCAGGCACCATGGGTTTTGTGGGTGTGGTGGGGTTTGCTGGAGCGCTCCCTGCTCCCCTGGGTTTGTCGGGCTGGGGGACGGTGCTGCTGCGGGCGGGTTCCTGCCCAGGCAGGCGGTGGGGCTGCTCCTCGGGACCCTCCCCTCCAGATCAGCCTTGGGGTGCCAGGGGGAGCGGGAGTGGCCAGCAGCGCTGGAGTTTATCCTTCTTCCTCCCTCCCATCAGCTCCTGCCACGGTGCTGCTCCCC